GACACTCTGTTTCAAGGGACAAGGGGAAGGGGTAGGCGGAGGGGTAGGGGAAGGGGGAGGGGTATAAAATAGAATTGGGATTGGGCCTAAAGATGAATTGGTCATGTAGAAGAGAGGCCTTGGTGTACTCACACTAAGCATTTTGAACCGTGCCCGAGCGCGTTTGACCCCCAAAGCCTGGTTCGTTGTCAGAACCAGATCAATTACACTACTGATAACAGTCCTGTTAGCATGTAACCATTTTTAAAATAATTCATATGAATATAGCTTGCTATTAATGACTTGCTTTTAATAATGGATGCATTTAACATTTAATTGTACAGCATCTTTACAGAGGCTGCTTTTACGGTCTAAAAAAAAAAGCAAACCCACAGTAATGTATAAACCAACAAGTTGCATGTAATGTAATAATATTTCCTTTCTTTCTGTCTTACAGGATTACTTGCAGAAAACGCTGTCCTTCTCCATCATGCACAAGGACTCACCTCTTTAACTCTTCGTCCCCCACACATACAGAGATGGTACCTGGATCAGTGTTAAGACTTTGCAGTGATATGGTTTTTTTGCAGAAGATGCAACTTTGTTTTAATTATAAGCTTATAATGAATACATTTTGACCTTCCAGCAACCCATATACTGTATACAGAACCAGTAATGAAAACAATAGTTAAAAATAGTCTTTTTCATATTGATAAAGCATTGTGTTCTCTTTTTCAAGCTTCATACAGTAAACTTTACTTGGTGTCTTCCTAATGCTTTTATCATAAAAAGCATTATAAAAAGCATTTTTTCCCAAGATGTTTAGCTAATTAAAGAAAATCCATATGATGTGAATGAGAACTTGTGGCCAAGACAGGGTTGATAAAAACATATTAGTACAGTGAGGAACACTCCAGTTTACATTTTACTGTATGCATACTGTAGTTTCTTATCTATTTTTTTCTTATTTAAAGTTTTTTGGAAAACCTGTTGTGAGTTGATCAATTTTCTAATTGTGTTTAATGATTCCAGTGTCTGTACTTTTCTCTCTAGTCTATTACAATGGTGTATGAATGTCACGTTTTCACACAAAGAGCTTCAAATCGGTCTACAATTTCGTGGACCATATGTTGTCGGAAAAGAAGGGTAAACGTTATTATTTAACGTTATTTATGTTACTCTTATCTTGTGTATCTCTACTGTGGTTTCTTTTTTCTTTTTTTTTGCTTGTATATTGCTTAGAACCATTTTTCCTTTCTTTTGCTTTTTTTTTTTGCCGTTTAATCAACCTGATTACAGCAAGTGGATGTAAAATTTAAGTCTACATTGATTATAGCCTATTCGTTTCTTAGTTATCTGCTACAGTTAAAATGGCTTATTCCTAAACCGATTCAATTAATGTAAGTTTAGAAAGAGTGTGGTTACTTTGCTACCAGGTGCGTTGTAACCATAAAGGAAAATATGGTTTATGTGCATACATTTGTTTTGCTTATCAGGTTTATTATTTATAAAACCAAAAAGGTGTAAATGTATGGTTTGACACAAGCAATGAAACCTTTGTTTTAAATGTACATTTTAGCTTGAGAACTTAAAACATGAATGTACTGTCAGCACTTTTGTACTTTCATCTATCTGGTCAAGAGTTTGATCAGCGTTGTAGGACTCTTAAGCTGTAGAGGCCACTGGTCTAAGAGGATTACAACACTCACATCAGACCCTTCTCTCCATTGTTTTGCTTGTGCTTCTGGTAGTGGTTTTTGTGACTGATGGACTTCACATTCACTAATTTCACTATTATAACTATTATAGGGGTGCGTTTCCTATTTTGAGATACTTTAAAAAGCATTTTTAGTTAATGTGTAAATGGTGAAAAATTATAAAAATCAGGGGGAAAAAAGTGTAATTGACAACAATACAAAATGGATGTTTTTAAAATAATATAAAATGATAAATTATGAAAGAGTATATGTATTATTTTCACAAATTCATGTTGTGTGTGAGCATACATATAATGACAGCTGAGAGACATTCAGAGCTGGATAGTAACTGATTACATGTAATCTGGATTACGTGATCAGATTACAAAAATTAAGTACTTGTAATTAGAGTAAATTACACTTTAAAACGCTCATAATCAAACTACAGTTATTTTTATGGATTACACATTAATACAATAGCAATAATTTATTGATTCTGCCTAATTCCTCTTCTTCATCTTTTAAATGTTCCTTTCTTAAATGTCCGACTGCATATAAACACAGTTTTGTGGAGATTCACACAGGGATCAGTCATTAGTCAGGTTTATACACAGCATCTGGATTTACAAAATCATTTCAGGTTTAAGAAGTGTTTCAACATTGCATCAACTACTGATGAACACATTCATTTCTATTTGAATTATCACTCAGTTGGTTATTTTACCAGCCGTTTGTCTTTCAAACACATTAAAATGCACAAATCACCAACTTTTTTGTCATCTGATCCTCTTTCACCTGATATATTTTTATTTGAAGGACCCCTGAGATTTTAAAATAAATATTTTAATAATGAAGTATAACGTTTGCATGTTCACGGTTCCCTGTTGGTTGTGGTCACATGACATGCAGAAATATAAAATATTTCATTTTTTCAGTAAGTGGTTTATTTTGATTGATTTTACAATTGTTTTAATTTGACATTTTTCTGATTTAATTTAAAGCTTTTCATTAAACTCACAAACCCCCTGCAGTTCCTTCACAAACCCAGTTTGGGAAACTCTGACGTAATATAATCACAAGGTTTAGTGCACTTCATGTTGTTGATAATTAAAAATAATTTGCTTATAATTTACAAACAGGAGAGACTTGGTGTTGGTTCCAAACAAAAGGAAATATATCGGTATCGGCCAAAAATAATTGACAAATATCGGCATATCAGATATCGGCAAAAATCCAATGTCGTGCATCCGTAGTTGCTGTCCATGAGGTTGTTCTGTGCAAGAAACATAGAGAGTTAGTTGAACACAACTCGCTCAAGTGTCTTTGCAATGAACTGAAGAAGGGATACCGGTCTGTAGTTTTCTAAAAGTGCTGGATTTAGAGAGGTTTTTTTAAGCAGTGGGCTTACCCGAGCCTGCTTAAATGCTGTGGGAAATGTACCAGAGTGAAGAGAGGTGTTGATAATGTGAGTGAGCGCAGGTATGACTGAAGAAGAAATGTCCTGAAGGAGGTGAGGGGGGATAAGCGGGCAGGTATAGGATGATTGGAAAGGATACGTTTAGAAACGTCTGCCTCTGAGAGCGGAGAGGAGGAGGAGAGAGAATGAGTATTTGTGCTTATGAAGGTTTTGTCAGTTTGTGCTGTGGAGAACTGGTCGCTGATGGTTCTTGTTTTATTTGTGAAGAATATTTATTTATCTAAAAAAAAAAGAAAGAAAAAAAACTAGCTATGTGCACTGTGCTAGACTAACTGAGACTTGTCACAGCACTTGTATATTGTTGCTCTCTCGTTGGTCTGATTGCTTCTACTTTGTAAGTCGCTTTAGATAAAAGCGTCTGCTAAATCACTAAATGTAAATGTAATAATAATAATTAATAAATAAATAAATAATACTGTCATCAAAATATTTCTTTAGTCAAGCAACCAAAGTTTTTTTTTTCCCTTCCCCTTAAATATTGCCAGATATCAGGACTTGATGGGAGAAATAGAAAGATTAGGAATGACAAAAGGGTAAAGAAGAATACTGCAGTGACAAGGTAAAATACACGGCCAATTTTTCAAGGATAGCAGGTGAATACCGGGGATAATATGACACTGTGAACAATGTAGATGTAAAGTAACTCCAGCAGATGGCAGTAGTGCAGCATCCGGGGATGCAGGCTGCCGTTAAAACCCAAAGAAGAAGAACGAGGCGCCAAATTTTGTACCTATCCTTCGAGAACGGAGGGAGAAAGAGGAAATCTAGTAATGAATCATGAATCTAAAAGGCAAAGGTGAGGATTTGTTTACTCATGTTATGAGTTAATGTACTGTTTACAATCTTCGCATGACACTAAACTAAATATCCGAAATGTTTATCTGATTTGTTACATCTGATAAACCAAAGATAATCGTTATTATTGGGGGGCAATGCTAACGTTAGCACACCTTAATGTTTACTGACAAGCTTTTGCTGTCGTTTATATTAGCATCTTATTTACTTTAGCTTTGCTTTTTAAAATAATTGTATTGTTTGTTTTCTGTGCAGCAACCGCGGAATCAAACGCCAATAGGTAAGTTATATAAATATAAATTAAATGGTTAAATAAATATAACGTTACACAGATAAATGATACTACGGTTCAAAACTGATTGAGGATAAACGAGATTACTAAGTTAATATTTTATACCATTATATACATCGAGGTTGTTCGTTTTTACACGATTAGATCCAGCGAGAGCTTGATGGGGCGACGTGGAATGAAAAAGTGTTTTCAGGAGTCGGGGCAGTATAGGTGGTGCAACTATAAAGACGTGAATAATCCCTCACACTCTAAAACGGTACTAAACTGCAGTGGAAACGCGAGCCGAGCCGTACCACGCAGTGGAAAAGCGCCATACGTTTGCTAAACGAATGTGGCGATCATTTATAAAAATAATTTATGCTCTACTGAGACCCCAGAAGTTACATTTTTGTCATCATTAACTCACTCTCGAGTTGTTTCAACACAAATGAAGTTATTTTGAAGAATATTGACGGTAGCCATTGAGTTTAAGTATGAAAATAAAGATGCCTTGGAATTCAGTGTCTACTGGCAACTACATTAGTCAACATTTGAAGTAGATCAAAACCTTTCATCAAAGTTGTCCTAAAACTTAAAACCAAAATGTGTTCTTGTCTTAGGACAACTTTGAACTTTTTTTGATCCACTTCAAATGTTGACTATATTTGGTTGCCAGCATGTTGTGTTCAACAGAAGAAAGAAACTCAAACAGGTTAGGAAGAACATAAGGGTGAGTAAATGGTGACAGAATTAGCTTTTTTTTGTGAACTAATCCTCCTGCAGTGATGGAGATGCCATCAAGGTGTTTGTGCGGGTTCGGCCGCTGACTCACGGCACTGGGTTGACGACAGACGGTGATCACAGTCTATGTTTGACAGTGACCTCACCGCACACCGTCAGACTGCACTGCAAACCAGAGCCTCGGACCTTCACATACGACCATGTCGCCGACATGAACACATGCCAGGTGAGGCAGGGGTTACATTCATCTTCTCTAGGTCATCTCATCATCTCATCACTGTTCTTTATGGCTCTCAGGAGGAGGTTTTCTCCAGTGTGGCTAAAAACATTGTGGAGTCGTGCATGAATGGATACAACGGGACCGTTTTTGCCTAGTGAGTTCCTGTGTGGCTTGTATTCAAATGTTTTAGAGCCGTGGCATATTCATGATGTGGTGTGTTTGTTTTTCAGTGGACAGACGGGCTCAGGAAAGACCTTCACCATGCTGGGTAAGTGATGAAGTCTCTTTTCAATAAGCCTGCTAGGTAAATCTTTTGTCAAGTCAAGTCACCGTTATGTATATAGCACTTTTTACAATGCAGATTGTGTCAAAGCAGCTTTACAGTATTAAACAGGGAAATAGTGTGTCGAAATAGTGTGCCGTTCTCTTCTGGCCAGACAAAACCAGCAGTTTAATTCTAGGCTGCACCAAAGTCAGATTGTGCAGAGGACTCGTCTTTTGTCTGTGTATGCATGCAACTTACAGTAGCTCTTAAAATGTAATTGGACACTTGAGATCAAATAAAAATGCTATTTTATCTACTGCAATGATATTAAGACAAAAGAAGAGGCATTTGTTTCGAAAATTAGCTAAAACCCATTTTTCCAACAAAATATTTCACATGCTGTAGTTGTCAGATGTTAGTGGAACATGTCTGTCTTTAGTTAATATGCGCAACTGTAGTATGAAGTGTGGTTACTCTGCTAGTACACTTGAGGGGTACTAACTTCAAGAAATAGTTCATCTCTTAAAACTGAGATGAAAATTTAGTGTTTTTTATTTTTTTAAATTTTTTTTAAATTTTGCCGTATGCATCAGATGTTCAGCCAGCGGTCCGTGGGCATTACGTCTGAGGCTGAGACTATATTTTGTGTGTGATTCTAGGCTGCAACAAAGTCAGATTGTGCAGAGGACTCGTCTTTTGTCTGTGTATGCATGCAACTTACAGTAGCTCTTAAAATGTAATTGGACACTTGAGATCAAATAAAAATGCTATTTTATCTACTGCAATGATATTAAGACAAAAGAAGAGGCATTTGTTTCGAAAATTAGCTAAAACCCATTTTTCCAACAAAATATTTCACATGCTGTAGTTGTCAGATGTTAGTGGAACATGTCTGTCTTTAGTTAATATGCGCAACTGTAGTATGAAGTGTGGTTACTCTGCTAGTACACTTGAGGGGTACTAACTTCAAGAAATAGTTCATCTCTTAAAACTGAGATGAAAATTTAGTGTTTTTTATTTTTTTAAATTTTTTTTAAATTTTGCCGTATGCATCAGATGTTCAGCCAGCGGTCCGTGGGCATTACGTCTGAGGCTGAGACTATATTTTGTGTGTGTGCAGGTCCCTCAGAGCTGGATAACTTTTCTGATGAGCTGCGTGGTGTGATTCCTCGAAGTTTTGAATACCTCTTCTTCCTACATGTCTGTCTTTAGTTAATATGCGCAACTGTAGTATGAAGTGTGGTTACTCTGCTAGTACACTTGAGGGGTACTAACTTCAAGAAATAGTTCATCTCTTAAAATTGAGATGAAAATTTAGTGTTTTTTATTTTTTTTTATTTTTTTGCATCAGATGTTCAGCCAGCGGTCCGTGGGCATTACGTCTGAGGCTGAGACTATATTTTGTGTGTGTGCAGGTCCCTCAGAGCTGGATAACTTTTCTGATGAGCTGCGTGGTGTGATTCCTCGAAGTTTTGAATACCTCTTCTTCCTCATCAGCAGAGAGGTGGAACGGGTAAGATGGGTTTCATTAAATATAACATTTCAGATAAATGTAACATTGCATTCATTGCAGTATCATGCTGTTTTTTTGTTGTGTGCTTATATGATTGAGAATCAGGAAGCACTTTTTTATTTAGAAGCAGTAGAAAACTGAATAAACTTGATATGTGGCTAATTTCATGATTCTGGAATGTCTGTGTTTTTCACTGAAGTGGCTGCTACACCAAAGTAAAATGGTGCTCTCTGTTGGATATGGTCTGTGTAAAGGAAATGCTGAATTAGTTCAGTTTAAAGAGAGACTTCACCCAAAATTTGAATTTCTGTCATCATTTACCCACCCTCAAGTTGTTCCAAATCTGTGTGAGATTCTTATTTCTGTTGAATGCAAAAGAAGATATTTTGAAGAATGTTGTTAAAGGGGTGGTTCATTGCAATTTCACTTTTTTAACGTTAGTGTGTAATGTTGCTGTTTGAGCATAAACAATATCTGCAAAGTTACGAAGAGTCAAAGAGTCTCTCTCTCTCTCCCAGGAAGCACTTTTTTATTTAGAAGCAGTTGAAAACTGAATAAACTTGATATGTGGCTAATTTCATGATTCTGGAATGTCTGTGTTTTTCACTGAAGTGGCTGCTACACCAAAGTAAAATTGTGCTCTCTGTTGGATATGGTCTGTGTAAAGGAAATGCTGAATTAGTTCAGTTTAAAGAGAGACTTCACCCAAAATTTGAATTTCTGTCATCATTTACCCACCCTCAAGTTGTTCCAAATCTGTGTGAGATTCTTATTTCTGTTGAATGCAAAAGAAGATATTTTGAAGAATGTTGTTACAGGGGTGGTTCATTGCAATTTCACTTTTTTAACGTTAGT